GCCTGGGTATTCTGCTTTCCTCTCAAACATAAACGCACCATCCTGGACTCTTACCTCGATACGGAAGAACGTGGACGTCCAGAACAAACACCTCATTCGAGACCCCTCACAAACATCGCACCCCCTGACTTTCACATTCCTCAAAGAAGCCGGCGTAACCATCAACCGCATCAGAAAATCAGCAGGCCGATGTGCACATTTCCTTCATAAATATAAACCACAGTGCGACTCTGGCCATGTCGCCCAAGCTACTGACCACATAGTAAACCACTTTAGTTCGCGCTCCTTCAATGGAGGAAGAGCAAAACTACCTAAACTTCATCCCAAAGCCTTCATGGCTAGCAGACCTCGACATTGGCACTCGGCTCCTGAACAGATTGCCATAATACGCGAGAATAGCAGGAATTGGTCAAATGTCCCCCACGAATGAGAGTCTTGAGACTCTGCAAGGATTTCCCGGATACATTAAACACACACAAAACCACGTACGCACTGCTACACACGGCATGCTGCACGACACAGGAGTGCGATGGTGCTAGGGTGAAAACCAGCACTCCACAAACATGGCAACAGCGTAGCCGGTCCTCAATTCAGTTGGCAAGGTAATGCTGCAGCCCCTGGAATATCTTGTTCACACCACTGCTGGCAGAAGGAGGAGCTCTTGGACAGCCTCTCCTAGATTGTATTTTGGCCTCCTGTCCCATGCTGGCCAGACATCTGGGAAGATTTGGGAGGCACCCCCCACACGTTACTTAGAACCGCCAATCGACAAATCGTTTTCAACCCATTTATTTATACTTGCTGGGTGGACAGAGGCGGCGGGAGGGTGGATTTAATAAACCTGCAGCACTGTTTATACCGCCGTGCCGGGAGTCCGAAGCGTCGACGTCTGGATCGCAAGTCCAGCGTGTTAATCTTTGACACCACAGCATCATCCCGTCGTACACAACGACGCACACAAAGCGCGTACACATCGGCGGAATGTGACAAGCTGCAGCACAGAAGAGGGAAACGGTGTGAAGGTGAAAACCACAACTCCGGTACCGACAGGGGAACGTGTAGTCCACAGCGGTGCTTTCTGTAGAATAAATACAATATAATACAAAACACGTGGCATGACACCGTGGTGCACTGCTATGCGCTATTATGCCGAGCAGGATTCATCCTGGACAGTACTTGGGTGGACGACTACCGTGCATAAAACAGGTACTTGTAGGCAGTGAGCGAAGGTGCAATTAATTATCAGCAGAGACAGCATTGCATCGAAATCCATTGTTGCATTGGTAAAGTGCTCCCTCTCTCTGTACCTCCTCGCCTTTAGCAACCCACACTGAAACAGTGTGGTGAAATATGGTCAAGTAACCCCCCCACGGCCCACCACGGCATGGAGGAGGCCCTTGTCCAAAAGCGGACTGACAAATGAGGGCCGTACACACACACACACGGCACGACAACATTTGACAGTACACTCAACCTTTTATCTGGGGTCTTCCAGACCGGTCAGAGGCGTCGTAGAACATGGAGCGACAAGACACTTTACCCCACCCCCACTGCACGAAGTGGCAGATTCAGGACACAGCACTGCACACACTTTGAAAAATTTTGTGTTCTTCTAAAACTGACACGGCCATCAATTGGCAGGGCCATCAATTGGAGGAAACTCGCGTCGATCGGTGCTTTTGGTTTGAGTACCACACTGCTGGTTGCGAATCTAAAAACACAGTATTTCCATTCCCGGCACATCACATCCAGATATCCATCTGGCTGAAGTCGCGGATACGGGTCAAAAAGTGCCGACTCCAGTTTACAAAGCGAACATGAAAATTATTTCAGTGAGAAATTAAGCCTTGTTATCTTGTTGTGTGCAAGCAGTTTAATTGTAATCGTTTCACTACTTAAATCTCCAGAAAAGGACCGTATTTTGGTATTCCTTTGTCAAGTCATCACGATCAACCGTGGGATGTCCTGCTTTCGGCAGAGAAGCAAATGCGGCCACGCTGCCTCCACGGTCCTCGGCACACGTGGAGCAAATGTTGCCAGCTGTCCGACTGGCACTCGACCACGTTTCATCGCGACGTGGCACCAGCAGCAACAACGCACACCATAGATACCGCAATCACCATGGCAACTCGAATGGGTACCCTCCGAACAACCAACGGAATTCTAGATTTGAAGCTTTCGTGACTGCAAGGATTCATATTCTTAGGTTTTTTTAACAACTCTGGCACCCCCCCTCCACCTCTCAGCCAGTCTACATAACAAAGGCTCAGTCCTTTGTTATGTAGACGAGCCGTAGTTTCAAGCCACACCAACCTTACCATATTAATAAAGAGGGGGCCTGTCCTGATTCATCCCCCCCTCAACCAGTATAAATACGGGGTAGTATCTCTTGGAATTTCTCATTTACTTGATACAGCAAGCGTGCTGTGACGGTTCCACCTGAGGACGGAAGCTTGTGTTGCCTCTGAAACGTCGTGATTTTTATTTTTATTTTATTTTACTTTTATTAACCAACGGAATACCGGCAGCGTCCGTCGAGCAGGCCACGGCGATAAGATTGCGATCGTGAGATGTATCCTCAATTCAATCATCAGCCATGACCAATCCACTGCTGGATGAAGGCCACTCTGTGGTGTGTGTGTGGTGTGTGCCGTGTGTGTGTGCCGTGTGTAAGTGCCGTGCGGTGTGTGCGTTTTGTGCATTGTGTGCGGTGTGTGTGAGTGCCGTGTGCGGTGCGCGTGTGCGGTGTGTGCGGTGTGTGCGTGCGGTGTGTGAGTGCCGTGTGTGTGTGCCGTGCGGTGTGTACGGTGTGTGCGCGGTGTGTGCGCGTCCACTATTATCGCGAAAACCCAAATGCAACGACGCCTCGTCGTTGCATTTGAACAAAACAAGCCAGACGCAAGGAAGGACGACCTCCAGACCCCCTTCCCTTGACCCAGTGCAGTCAAACGAGATCCTCCCAATAGGCACCAGACTCAAGAGAAGAAGAAGAAGATGCCACCTGAACAACAACAAAGACGACAAACATCCCCCCCCCCCCTCGTGTAGCCCTGTAACAGACTGTTAGGCCACGTGTTGTGAGCGAGTAGCAACCTATGAAGGCCGGCACGGCACACGAGGTGTGTGTGTGGGGGGGGGGGTGCAGCAACCACCCGCGACCGCCTTTGTCTCCCCCGAGTGGCGATGATTACGACAACACGTGTGTAGTGCACGCACACGTACACATCCTCTTGTGTCAATCCACTGCTGGATGAGTGCGTCTCCCCACGCCGTGCCGATCGTGGTGGGCCACGTGACCACTTTTTGTTGTTGTTGGCTACGCTGGTCAGCACGGGCTGCCGAGCATAGACGTTGGAGCATACATAGTACAGTCCAACACACGGAGTTTGCTGCCCTGAATCCCCCTCCCTGTGCCAACACGGAGTCCCTCCACAACCAAATGAGACCATCTGTGTGTGTGCGTGTGTTTATGCAATGGTTGAGTCGGTGGTGGACCCTGGTTAGCTTCAAGAGATCTGTCCAGATCGGTCGTGTTCATTCCGGACGATTCGGTTCCATAGCTGCCAACCCCTTAGCAGTGCCCCCCGTCTCATTACAGACCAATTAAAATCTTATTGATCACGCCGTGCCCTTATAAATATCGACGTTCATCATATACACGACACAATACACTACTATACACTACACTATACACTACCCCTTATCAGTGCCCCTATCTTATTACAGACCAATTCAGACCTGATTGCTCACGCCGTGTCCTTATAAATCTCAACGTTCATCGTATACACGACACAATACACTACACACTACACTACCCCTTATTGGTCACGCCGTGCCCTTGTACATCTCAACGTTCATCATATACACGACACAATACACTACATACTACACTACCCCTTATTGGTCACGCCGTGCCCTTGTACATCTCAACGTTCATCTTACAAAGTCACATCGCAAGGAAGAAACACAAACAGATTTGAAAATGTTTGTTAGCCCAGATTGAAACAAGAAGACCGCTAAACCGTATGGGTTGACTTGTTGGCGGCACACAGCCACACACTGCTGTAACTACATAACAATAACCCCCCCCCCCCCCCCTGTTTACACAGAAAGTCTCAGAGTCTCAAGACTGGCGAGTCAAGAGGGTCTTGCTTCATTGGAGGCGGCGGTGGGGGGTGGAGTGTAGTGTATAATGTAGTGTATCGTAGTGTAATGAGTGGTGGTTCGGCTTTTGTGTGCGCGGAAACCAGAGGACCAGGAGATATCCCACCCCACATTTCGAGAGGCGGCGGTGTGGGGAGGTTGGGTGGTGGTGGCGTGTAGTGTATAGTGTAGTGTATAGTGTAGTGTATAGTGTAGTGTATAGTGTATCGTAGTGTAATGAGTGGGTGGTTCGGCTTTTGTGTGCGCGGAAACCGGAGGACCAGGAGATATCCCCCCACACATTTCGAGAGGTGGCGGTGTGGGGAGGTTGGGTGGTGGTGGTGTGTAGTGTATAGTGTAGTGTATAGTGTAGTGTATAGTGTAGTGTAATGAGTGGTGGTTCAGCTTGTGTGCGCGGAAACCGGAGGACCAGGAAATATCCCCCCACACATTTCGAGAGGTGGCGGTGTGGGAGGGTTGGGTGGTGGAGTGTAGTGTATAGTGTAGTGTATCGTGTAGTGTATAGTGTAGTGCAATGAGTGGTGGTTCAGCTTGTGTGCGCATGAAACCGGGAGGACCAAGATATATCCCCCCACGCATTCCGAGAGAATCAACCCACGTGTTGTACTGCACTGCCATGTCCTCCCCCAACCACGCAGCCGCGCGTGTTTTTTTGTAGAGTTCCACCAACACCGTTCATCCCAAACATCCTTGGACCACAGCCGTGCAACAACCACCACCACCACCACCAAATCCGATTACCGACCGACCTTGCTGCTGCTATTGTTATTGTTGGCCACGGGGCACTTTATTAAAAAGACGAGGCAAAGGAGGTTGAGTGAAGATCATCGCCTTACCAGACAACGCCGAACGCGCCGTAGCCGATGGGCCGATCCGGCTCCACGTCTCCCGCGGGGGGCAGCCGGGGTCCTGCCGGGGCTTGCTGCTGCTGCTGCTGGGGCTGGTGGTGCTGCTGATGATGATGATGGTGATGCTGATGCGAATGTACCGCTGCAGATGCGGCAGCTTGCACGGGCGCTGCGGGTGCAGGCGAGGGGAAGTAAGGCTGCCTCGAGTCGTGAGGACCCGACGCCGGGTGCTGAGGATGCACCGCTGCTGCAGGATGTTGTTGTTGTTGTTGCTGCTGTTGTTGCTGTTGTTGTTGTTGTGGCTGAGGCTGCGGGTGGAAGTGAGCTGCGTGCTGTTGCTGCTGCTGCTGGCTGTGGTGCTGCTGCTGCTGCTGAGGCTGGCTGTGGTGTTGTTGTTGCTGTTGCTGGCTGTGGCTGTGGTGGTGGTGATGGTTGTGGTGGTGGTTGTGGTGGTTGTGGGCCGGCCCCACGGCCGCCGTGGCCGCGGGGACGCCGCCGTTGTAGACCATGAGCCGAGTCGCCGTCTGCCTCTGTCCCGCGGCGGCGGCTGCACCGCACAGCGCCATGGAGGAGGGCAGCACGTCTTGTTCCACTGCTGCTGATGATGCTGCTGATGCTGATACTGCTGCTGATGATGCTGCTTCGTCTCGACTACTTCACTCAACAACAACAGCGACGGAGGGAGGGAGGTGACCGAAGGTTGATGGGCGCGAGTGAGATGATGGAGCTCAAGTGGCGATGATGATGATGGTGGTGGTGAAAAGGGAGATGTGGATTGATGTGGTTGGTGGTGGTGGTGGAGGAAGAAGAGAGAGGGGTGGGTGGTGTGCCGGTGATGGTTCTGGGAGATGATTTAGGATGTGTGGGGGGGGGGTGATGCTGCTCGTGGTGAAGATGAGCGAGGTGGTGATGCTGATGGGATTAGTATCGTTGGGGGCGGATGATCAGCACGATGATGATGATGATTATGGCGCAGGTGAAAGTGGTTGACAGTGAAGTGAGCAGGCGGGTGGCGTGCAAGAAAGTCGAGGTGGTGGTGATGTCGTTGGTGATGTTGGTGGTGGTGATGTTGGTGGTGGTGATGTTGGTGGTGGTGATGTCGTTGGTGGTGTTGGTGGTGGTGGTGTTGGTGGTGTTGGTGTCGGTGGTGTTGTCGGTGGTGGTGTTGGTGGTGATGTCGGTGATGATGTAGGTGGTGATGTTGGTGATGTTGGTGGTGGTGTTGGTGGTGATGTCGGTGGTGGTGTTGCTAATCGGACAAGACGCGCTGCTGCTGGATGGCGATGACCCCAGGGGGGTGGAGGTTGCAGCGCAGCTGGTGCAGGTGCAGCAGCAGGAGGTGCAGGTGCAGCAGGAGGTGCAGGTGCAGCAGGAGGTGTGTGTGGGGGGGGGGGTTGGAGGAGCAGGAGGAGAGGCCGGGGACTTGGCGCCAGTGCCCGACCACCCGACTCTCAGCTCAGTGCGTGTGCCAACGACGCCAACAACAACGACGCCGCCGCAGACGACGACGACAACGCAACTCGGCTGCCGCTCGAACAATCGCGACGGAGGTGGTGGCGGTGGTGGCTGTGGCTGTGGTGGTGGCGATTGTGTTGAGTGTCCACGGCCATCCCGACCCCGTCACCCCCGCAGGGGCAGCAGCTCCAGGAGCCGAGCCCGGCGCGACCTCCTCCCCTGCTCGTCCGTCTCTGGGCAAACCCGGCCCGGCCGGGCTCGGCCACCCCAGTCCGGCCCCGACCCCAGGCCGACTGGGCCCGGCTCGGCTGGTGCCAGCTCGCTCGGAGCTCCTCGCAGCCCGCCGGGATCCCGTCCTTTTCACGTCCCCCCCCCCCGAGCGCACTCACTCGCTGTTTGTTTGTTGTGTCCACGCCGATCGTCCTCGACCACTCACTCACTCACTCCTCCTCCTGTGGCCGACGCCGGGTTGCCGATGGGAGCAAGCCCGCGGCTCGTTCCCGGACTGTTTCCGAGGGCCGGCACCGCGGCGTGCGTGCGAAGGAAATGGGGGAAGCAACGCGTAGCACCGTCGAGTGACCCCCCCGGGGGAAGACACCGCGGTTGTGGGGAGAGACCCAGGGAGGCAGGGAGGGAAGGAGGGCAGCCCGAGCCGCCGCCTCCTCCTCCGCCTCGACCTCGCCGCTCGGCGCGACGCGAACAAAAGGCGAGGCCCGGGCCCGCGAGGCGCCACCCCCTGCGGCAAGCCCCGCCCACATTCGTGATCGCCCCGCCCACACTCGTGATCGCCCCGCCCACACGCGTGATCGCCACGCCCACACGCGTGATCGCCCCGCCCACACGCGTGATCGCCCCGCCCACTACGCGTGATCGCCCCGTCCACACGCGTGATCGCCCCGCCCACACGCGTGATCGCCCCGCCCACACGCGTGATCGCCCCGTCCACACTCGTGATCGCCCCGCCCACATTCGTGATCGCCCCGCCCACACGCGTGATCGCCCCGCCCACATTCGTGATCGCCCCGCCCACACGCGTGATCGCCCCGCCCACACTCGTGATCGCCCCGCCCACTACGCGTGATCGCCCCGCCCACACGCGTGATCGCCCCGCCCGCACTCGTGATCGCCCCGCCCACACTCGTGATCGCCCCGCCCACACGCGTGATCGCCCCGCCCACCGACACCGCCCACCAATCACCGCCCACCACCCGCCGGGCTAACAACGGGGCCACCCCCCCCCCCTCAAATTTATCCGCATCCGCGCGCCCGCCCCACACGCCCATTGGACGGCTGCACCGGCGCGTCCCCGCCCCCTAAACCCCCCACCCCCGCCGTGGAGGCGCGCGCTCCGGGGCTCGCGACCAATAGGAAGAGCGCTCTTTGTGCGAGCTCGCGTCCGATTGGCCTTGAGGGGAAGCGCTCGCTCGGGCGCGCGCACGCGCCTCGCGACGTGGGCGGGGCCGACAGCGGAGGGGGGTGGGGCGTGGGGGGGGGAGGCGTGGGGGGGGAGGCGTGGGGGGGGGAGGCGTGGGGGGGGGGCGTGGGGGGGGAGGCGCGGTGCGAGATCTGGGAGGAGCGTGGAGAGCACGTGGAAGGTCACGTGGGCGGGAGACAGGGGGGGGTCGGCACTTCTCCCACCCACAACAGCTGTGCGCGACCACGTGTGTGTGTCTGTGCAGCGAGCGACCACGTGTGTTTGCAGCGGGTCATGCCTATGCGACCACGTGTGTGTGTAGTAGCTGGTCATGCCTTGCCGAGGGTTGCAGGGGCGGCACTCAGCCTATAACACATTGTCCTGCGGAGGGAGCTGGTAGGAACGTTGGGTTGAACGGTCAATGGCCAGGGTCAACGGCGGCGTGGTGTATTCCGCAAATATGGCCGACTGTGAAGGCGGGCACAAGCCGGCGTGAGTAGGTGAAACGTTGAGTTTTATAAGGGCACCACGGGGTGACCAGCCCCTTCCCACCCAGCCCCACCCCTCCCCACCCAGCCCCTCCCCACCCTCCCCTCCCCACCCAGCCCCTCCCTCCCTACCCAGCCCCTCCCTGCACGACGGACACAATAATCCCCTGTGGGCTGGTGTAACCAGGAGGTTCCTACCAGTATAAAGCCAAACAAATGACTTTGTGATGCTGCGTTGTCAGTTGTTCACAAGCACAGCAAAAACAAATATTCGCGTGCTATTCAGGGTCGCTTCTCGTATAGGTTATCTCTCAAGGCTCACTGACGAATGTGTAGAGGTTGTTTTTGTTGTTTATTCATTAAACGAAGGACGCGACCCAAAAAAACACTCAATTTGTCGAAGCTCGCCCGGGAGCCGGCCCGATGCTGCTCGACACGAGACGGAAGCGTCGTTAACGAGAGACGGGACCTGGAAATCACGGCCAAATTCACTGTCATTAGCGCTCTATTGACCTTTCCGAGTTGACGCGTGAAGAGAATCCGGAGTGACGAAACACTGACGTCACGAGATTGACAATTATGACGCAATCGACTAACTTTTAAAGTATTTACATATTTTTTTTATGTAACCAAGCTTAACAATTCGTGTCAGCCCGGGACACGCAACCTAGGTATGGCAATTAGCACAGCCGTTTGTTGATTTGAGTCTTGCTGTGATTGCCTCTTGCGAGATAAATATCCTCATGAACCGCGAACGTGAGAGCGAGACCAGAATTCGCTGCCACGCTTTGGAACAGGCGTGAGAAACGGTCCTCTTTAACGTCACTGAAGGCATAATAATACTGGTAGGAACCACCTGGTTCCACCAGCCCACAGGGGATTATTGTGCCCGTCCGTCCGTCGTGCATCCAAAAATGGGAGGGGTGGGGCTGGGTGGAGAGGGGAGGGTGGGGAGGGTGGGGCTGGGTGGGGGTGGGAGGGGTGGGGCTGGGTGGGGAGGGGCTGGTCACCCCGTGGTGCCCTTATAAAACGCAACGTTTAATCTACTCACGCCGGCTTGTGCCCGCTCTCACAGTCGACCATATTTGCGGAATACACCACGCCGCGTGAGACAGACATTTCGGTCATGAATTCATAGCAGTGAGCAGTGCACCAGCGTGTGTCGTCATTCGGCCCAATAATATGGCGTCAGAACGATCTGACATCACGTTCATAGCCTGGTGGGTTCGCGTTTAATAGTGTGCATTCTTCAAACGGATAAAATAAATAGGGGTTAGATCGCGTCGGAAAAATGCGTGTCATAAACCCACCTCAGCCCAACACAGACAACTAATAAAGTTGTCACGTGAACAAACGTGCCAATTTATTACTGCTTCAGCACACCGGTGTGTTGGAGAGCAACCTCGCAACATTTAAAAATGTTATACGACGTTTCGTTGACAGAACCAGGATTATTAGGTATTTTACTCGCGTCATCTGACCCAAAAATCAATTATAGTTCATAATGTTGATGGTGAAAGCTTATGTGTTAAATTCTTCACGCAGAGTTAATCACTTGTCCAGCTTATTTTATTCTCAGAAACTGGAATGCACTGTATTCGAATGAGACGAAAGCTCAAATTTGACATGCGCTTTTGTGCATATTTATGACTGTGTTAACATTAATTCGCTATGATCGAGAATCTGGGTTAACCAAGGTTGAATGAAACACGGATTTGAAACCATGCCTTACCTCAGTGGTGCCGACTCTGTCTCTGCCGCAGAATCTCACCGATCCCACCTGGTCATCTCGCCAGCCACTGTTGTTCCATTGCTTTTACTCCTCGGTTACCACTTCCTCTGAGCTTAATGCCCACTAAACTGTGTGTGGTATGGAATCAATGCTATTGAAATTATGCACTCCCAGAAGGCATTGTGGTTGATGAGAAGTGTACATTTTAAATAGATATAATGCAGAGAGAGATGTGTGAAGGAGATAAATGATCTGCTTATTCGTAAGCTTTTGTGACCAATATACATAAGAGGTTGTTTTGGGTTAGATCGCGTAAATATGAAGGTGTCGTTTATTTGTAAACATTTATCCCTCTGTTTAAGACCGAAGCAGGATGAGTTCTCCACAACTCTGGCTGTCGCCTGATGGGGCTGGTTGTAATTACCGGCGAAACGTCATAGTCGAATTGTAAACGTTGTGGGTTTACTCTCCAACACAGCGGATGTGTGCTGAACTAGTAACGAATTGGCACGTTTTGTTTACGTGACAAATCTTACCAATTGGCTGTGTCGGGTGGTGGCGGGTTTAACGACACATTTATGTTTACGAAATCTAACCCCAAAAAAATATCTTATGGCTGCTTTTTCCAATTGTGTGTCATTGGGGCCTAGTTCTCTGTGCGAGTTGGGAACGCCATCGCCCTCTCGTGGCCGTGGCGAAAATGTCACAACATTTCATTTGACCGGATTTTAAAAAGACTGCCTCTTTATGTTTACAGACAAATGAGGAGGAAAAGAATAATAATTGTGCAAACATATGGATTTATGATGTAACACTTTCCGAAATGCGTTTGTCATCACGAGTATTTAATTAGCAGCACGGAAGACGAGGGAGCTCTCAGGGCAAAATGCTTTTGCATATTTGTAAATAATAAAAAATTAACATATTCGTCAGTAACACTCGGGCCTTGAAAGCGACGTTTCAGGTAATGGGCCTTCTTCATAGCACAACATATGAGCAAATAGCTTGCTTTGCTCTGGTTTGTTTTTTCACTCCAGATTTTGAGCAACACTTTGATTAGTTTGGCAACTTTTCAGCAATAGGGTAAATGATTGCAATACAACTTGATAAGTTTCGCTCATATTGTATTATCATTACAGGGACTCCTTTACTTACGAATATTCGACTTACGAACTCCCTGAGATACGAACAAACCTGTCCCATATGTCCAGTTGCCTGTTGGAGAAATAAACATCAAAGTTTTGAAAATATTTTACAATCTTAATTTTTTTAATAGTACTTTTTTATTATTATAACCAAGAGCATTCAATAACAGGAAATGATGAAATAACTTCATGAAGAAGCATGCAAAGTTGGGCTCAATATAAATGTCAGCAAAGCAAAAGTTCCATACAAGTGAATTATACGAATTAACGTGTATTGAAGGGACATAAACGGAAATATAACAACAACATTATTAAATAAATTATACGTTTTAATGCTTTTGCAATACTGAAATTGATGATGAAAAGTAACAGTGCCACTGTACCTAAATAAAGGTTTCAATCGGTGGATATTACATGCTACGACATGAAATAGAAACATACTTACTGATGGAGGAACACTTGCACGCTTGGAATTCTATTTAGAGAAAGAAAGAAGAGCACGTGGATCAGAAAACGAATGCAAAGGACAGACACCATGTGACTGCCATGAAAGGTAGCTGGGGTGGCTTGAGCAGGACACTGCTGTAGGTTTTTTCGGTAAAGTCACGTAGGTAAAAAATTAAAATGAATAAAAGTAAAATAAAAAATAAATAAAAATCACGACGTTTTGGAGGCAACACAAGCTTCCGTCTTCTTGATACAGCTATCGTGCTGTGACGGTTCCACCTGAAGATGGAAGCTTGTGTTGCTTCCGAAACGTCGTGATTTTTATTTTATTTATTATTTTACTTTTATTAATTTTTATTTTTTTTACCTACGTGACTTTACCGAAAAAACCTAAGACTATGAATCATTGCAGTCACGAAAGCTTCAAATCTAGAACTGCTGTAGGTGCCAACGGGCCGATGGAGGCTCGAGACTCACGACGGAATGACAGCCAAAGGGAGAACGCCAAACATGAAAGCCACCGAA